TGTGGTCACAAATTCACATCGACCATTTAGCAATAAGTAAATATGATATTACAAGGAGCAGAAGTTTGCAAATGTCGATGCCTCAGAACACAGAGGGGCGGATATGGCCTTATTTGTGTTGATAAGGGATGTCTGTGGTTGAACTAGGGTGAATTGCACCAAATTACCCATTTCTCAGATGTCGGGCTTGTCTATATACAGCAATCAATGACTCATAGTAATTACTATTAGTTGAAGGGCGCGAGTAACTTAGCACACATATATTTAACCTAAGCGGATTGTTCCGGTTTTAGTTATTGGGAGGTACGGGTAAATGATCGACAAAGGTCAGATACGCCAATGCAGGAAAAGTACCCTGCTCAAGTCGAGACAGCTCGTGTTTCTAAAGTAGTACTAGTCCTAACAATGCTCTCACCCTATATTCCAGTCCTCATGACCCGTATTCTAGTACCAAGTTCTGATTCAAATTTATATTTCAAACATTGCTCTCACTCTATATTCTAGACCTCATGACCTATGTAGTAAGTACCAAATCCTAGTTGAAACCCCCACTCATTTCAGTGCACTCACCCGGTCTCCCACTTCTATTATACTGCATTTTGATCAAAACTAGATAAACCGCGTTTTAATACATACTTTAAAAACCCGGCTGTTCTCAGAGGCCATGTCTGCGTCAGTGCAGGAAGACTACCTGGAGTTACGGCAGGCTGTGCGCAATACTGACACACCTACCATCGACTTCTTCCGTATCATCGCATTGTGCAACGATATCATGCCACGAGTACTTCCCAAAGATCCGGTATGGGCGTGGCCTATGTGAGTATATGTGAGTGTTTGCGTGCGAGTGTATGTGCGCGTGTGTGTGTAGGTGTGGTTTTATGGATGCATGTATAATTGTGTGAATGTGTAGTGTATAAGATGTATGTATGTGTACATACGTGCATGTATTGTGTATGGTAACCACAGTACACGCTGGCACAATCAGCCTCATCCGCATTATTGCGGTTTGCAAATGTATCAGACCGAGAGCACTTCCTTAAGATCCGGTGCGCGTGTGTATGTATATGTGCTTTTCTATACATTCCTCTGCCTATTGTACACGATTGTTTGTAGATGTATCCGATTGCGACTTCGTACCCGTCTACTTTCTCATCATTACGGTTGGTAACGGTGCCATGCCAAGAACACTTCCCAAGAAACCGGCATTCGTGTGTACTTATATATATATATATATATAAATATATAGATATATATAATATATATATATATATATATACATATATATATATTATATTTATTATTATTAT